ATAGAAAGAGAAATAAATGAAAAAAAGAGAGTCGATTATCTTTGTCAATAGCTGATTGATATTCTATTCTTTGTACTATTTCCGTCAAACAAGTGACTGAAACATTAAGACTAACAGTTGAGCAAGACTTTTCTGACCTATTTATGTAATACAAAAAAAAACTGATGATAAGAATTGATGTTCATATATATATAGCGATCAAAAACAATCATCTATGACGTAAGTGAGTAAATAAGAAAGAGATAGGCTACAAGAAATATATGCTCATCTTTATCAAATTTCGAGAGCTGTTGATAATATATTATTGACGTGTATGGCGCATGTCTCATCGCTGTAGGCAGTCTAGTTCATTGAATCTCTTACCCCTGCTGTGTTAAGGAAAAAACTCTAAAATCAATTGTCACTTCATTTCATGATGATAATGACCAAAAAACATTAAATGGTTTGATAGAATTGAAATGACAGGAAAAGAAATTATTGTCACTCATCACAAAAAAAGAATTTTAATAAACCGGATGATAGACATATACATCCGTACATATATGTGTAGAATCTTATTGTGAGTGAATAGTTCATCAATACATACCCATGTTGCTTGTGTAATCTTACTTGACACTCCGCCCATGTCGACAAGATACAAAGAGCAAAAAAAATAGAGTTAAAAATGTATATGATCATGTAACAAATCGGACACGCATGTAGAATCAACAAAAAAAAAGAGAATTATAAGAATGATAGAAACCGAGAAGAAGGAAGAACAACAATAACAATAATATCGCGTGACTTACTATGAGAAAGATCATCTATTTGTTTTGCACAGTGAATGTGTAACGAACATTGTCTTTATCTCAAGAGAAAAAAAAACATAAGAAACGACTAATCAAATGAATGCTCATTCTTTCTTTTTCTTCTTATGATTCACTTAATTGAAAAATATTAGTATACTATAAATTAAATATGTATATGAATGAACAAACGACGATGATGAGAGAGAAAAAAGAAAAGAAAAAAAAAGCTTTAAATGAATTAAGAGCTTTAACCATATCGATATATGCCACTCAACTTAAAACATCGATCACAAAAAAAAAAAAGGAAAACGATTATCGGCTTCCCGTGTCGGTCATAAAGCACTGAAAAGAATAAAAAAGAATCAACACCTGTTTGAATAAGAAAATGTAAAAGGTGCAAAGTGCCTGATGGTCTATGCTCTAATCTTCAAATAATTCTTGTACGCAATTCACTCTAATGATAAGTGGTTTCATTTCAATTCGTTTACTGAACAGGTGAAGCCATTTTTTCCCTTTTTTGTGTATTATCAATCTTATTTTGAAAAGATCGATTGTACCAAGAGATCTATTATTACTGTTACAATATATATGCAAATATACGAACCATGAAATGGTCCGTTATTGATAAGATGAGAGTGAACATACATATACTCATCATTACACTATTCAAGCATGCATACTCTTAACCTAGGTAACACTCCTACAATTGAATTAGAAATGTCTTCGATATGGATGAATTGACGAGTATTGTCTATAGAAAATGAGGATGATGATGATCGATTCATAGTAATTTGTTCAAGTGGCTTTTCTTTCCTTTGCATATAGATACATTGACATATGGCTGACGTGTAATAGAAAAAAAAAATCAAAATAAATCAACGATCATGGTAGACAGAATCAACAAATAAACATATTTATATATGAATTTGTTTGATAGGAATATGAGCTTAAAAGCAAACAATCAACACTATGGGAATAACATAGACATACAAACAGACAGAAGAAAGAAAGAAAAGAAGATTTTAAATTTCAACAATATAATAAGAATATTAGCGGTGATGGAAGAAAGGTTAAATGAATTGCACTAAGCTCAAACGTTGACAGTATGTTTATAGATTTTGTCAGCTATGTACACATCCTGCTGTCATGTCAATGGATCAGACCTGATAATAGACGACTATAATATCGTCAACAAGTGAATTTATTCATTCACATATTGAAACGTTGAAATCTGATAGGCGTAAAAAAAGTTCTGTAGATTAACAAAAAAAAAAGGAAACAGCTCTTATGAAAAAATTTTTATGTACTGATTAACTCTCGTTACATAGATTTGATTGCTCTTCACAGAATCAATCATCGATTTAAATCAAACTAGTTGTGCCTTAAGGGTGATAAAATAATTGGTGAAAAACTCTTTCTACTCAGTAAATACTTGATTACAATTTCAGCGGGCAAGATGACATAGAATGAGAAGCAATGATGTATATCAAATGTGGATAGAAAAAAAAAGAAAAATGTCAGTGTTTGTCGGAATTTATGAAATAAGATCGAATTTGTTCGTCAATGGAAAAAAAGAAGAAGAATTTGATAAAAACATGCTATCGGAATCCCATGATTCTCTAGTATTCTAGTCACTTGACAATGCGCGAGTTTTTCATGCAAATATGATTAGATAAAGATACTACAACTGTTACTATTCCTTGCTTTTGGTTTTTTTTTCTTCTCTTCTCTTTGCTTATTTCTGTTCAGTTAATCAAGAAACGAAGAGGAAAATAGAAAGAAATAGATGTTCTCTCTCCCGTTAGTCTCTTTGGATACAAGAGAAACATTAACATCATACAAATGCATGTCTAAATTAACACTCTTACTAGTTTATTCTTTTCTCTTTCTCTCTCTCTCTCTTTTTTCATTGTCAAATATATCAAGCTTTCTTCTCGATTTCTTTAGGGATCTCATATACTTGCACATAGATATAATCTATGTTTGTCAACTGAAGGCCATATTCAGTCACGAATAATCTAACGGTTTCAATTTTGCACCATTCAGTTATAATGATAGACAAAAAAAAACGAAAGAGTAAAAATGTGTGCATGGTTGATTGAAGTTCAATGATTAAACTCAAACGGACTGTTCATCGATATGATGACTAATAATGAGCATATGACCGTATATATAGCGTAGCCAATGTGCATATATAAATATATACATAGTCTCTTTGATATGGAAATATGTATACTAGCGTTATCGCATTTCGATGTTTTTAATTGTATAATTTTTTAGTAATGATTCGAGGCGGTGAGCGTAAATTATATATATATATTCATTGATGTTATTAAAGAGGAAAAAAAAAGTTAATCAGCAATTGTTTTTCCATTATATACAGTAAAATGCATTAGACAGCCGTCTGTCCTTTCTATATTCGACTCCTGTCACATCCTTGTCGAGAGTTATCTGTCAGAAACTCATCCACGCTCATCGTTTAACAATCATATGTAGATATGTATATATGCATGCATATAGTTTGACCTTCGAATGAAGACTTGTACTAATCTGCGTATCTATTCGGTTTGAACCTATTCATTGTATTAAATAGAGAAGTTTGCATGCAATATTTTTCATTCATTAAGAAGAGAACATCTGAACCGTTCGATCATATCTATAGATGTACATATGGAAGCCAACAGATTAATATCAAAATAAAATATTAATTTGACAATATTGAACTTTCATGAGAATTTGTATTTCTTTGAAAGACATTCATTTTTGTTTCTTAATCTAATACATTGATTTGATAGATTTCATATTATTATAAAATAAATGAATTTCATAATTATATTCTTAAATATGAAATGGTCAATTAAAATATAATTAATTTCGTATTTCAAAAAAATAGAAGTCATCAGAGAAATCTTCTTATTATAAATATTCAACCAATTAGATAATTGTTACATAAACGATAAACGTCATTATTAGTTAATATTATTCTATTATCCTTCAGAATCCATCCAATATTCACTAATACAATAAAGATAATTACACATTTTGTTGGCCATATGATGTCATACAGATATGAGTAGAAGTATTGATTTTGAGTGAAAAAAGAAAATTTTTCTTCTGTCTTATTCTTTAATCTGATATACGTTATTGTAAGTTATTTTATATCAATTGATTACTTATAATTCTAGTACAGATAATAAATAGCGAAAAGAATTTAGCTGATGTAAATCAGATGATAACCATAGACGACACCAGCCGCACATACGATTGACAAATGTCCTTAATGAAAGAGTAACAGGGCTGTTTTCTTTTTTTGTTTTGGTTTTAACACATCATTACGTGTGTTATTTTCTTATATACATATATATATATCACAGTCACATCATGTCTCATTTCCTTTCATTATGAAGAAAGATAAAAGAAATCATTGTCGAAGTGGATTTTCTCAGAGAATTTCTAAATTTTTTAATTTATTTACATTGTGTTCTCGACAGTCAACATCATGTATTGGTAAAAATTCATCTTATGCGAATACATTTATTATATCAACTCCTGTCATAAAGCAATCAAACATGCATTTATCACAAAGTCGAATAGACTATAATCGTCTCAAATTGTCTTTCTATCCAACAACTTTTACTTCTAACGATCAAGTATGTTATATATGTCGAGAATGTTCGAGTTTCTTTAATCTTACAATAATAAACAAAATTGTTGACATTTTATCTTGATCTGAGGCCAAGTTTCTTGGCATCTCAGTATATATATATATACATTTTTGGTTTCTCTTTTTCGCTTCTACACTATATAACATTAGTACTTTATATCTGCTCATATGCAGCAGATGTAAAATACTGTTTCGTAATTTCTCGCAATTATACACTTCTTCGCTTTTTTTCTAGTTACTCTTAGCATTCGAAAAAAAAGAGAGAAAATCGTAACTAGGATTTACGTATACGAGCATGTTCAAAGTCAAGTCTTTTTTTCTTCATAATAATATACACTCGCATATGATGTACTGTATTTTATCATATTTGATGAAAGAAATGTAAGCAGTGTAGTATGAATGAAAGATATAAACTAAAAGCATATACATATATACATAGTCATTCGTATCATATTTACGGTAAGTATTTAAAAAAGAATGAATGAGGAAGAAAGTAATCGAATAGGTTGTATTTATATATTTTATAGAAAAAATTTTCTCATCATCTGATGCCACAAATCGTATTAGTCGATTCGGATTTTTGTACCGATAACAATAATATGATGCGTCATGTGGTTCATAACGATAATAGGGCAAGTGGACATTTGTATAGAGGTAAGACAGAAAAAAAAGAAATGCTGCATTGTTATTGTTAGATATGTCAAAAAGAAGAACCAGTATCGTCTCTTTCATCAACATCATCATCGCCTACTTCGAACTGTCATCTATCATTGACAATTCATCAATGTTATTCCACAAGTACATTACCATCTGCGACTACGACTAATATTGAAATGTACAATAAAAGTACAAATAATATAATTGAAAAATCATCATTACCACGAACTCAAACATCATCGCGTTTTTCGTATTTAATTCGACCATCAACACCGTGTATATTCGGTCGAGAACATTATGATGATGAACAAATGAATGATGATGAATTCTTTTTAACTGCCGGTGGTATTGTTCATTCATGTCCAAATATTTATGAATTATCAATTGATAATAATAGAAAATTACAATCATGTAATCATTTAATGTTTATTGATCAACAAACAAAATTTAATAATAATGATAATTTAAATTGTTATGATACAGAATTAGATCGTTATTCAATATTACCACGTTTTCATCCAAATTTATCATCAATATCAACAGATTCAATTGATTCAGAACTTAAATTATATAAAGAAAGACATGCTATTGGATTTTCTCGTCAATGTCATGATGATAGTTCAATTTATTCATCATTTTTACCAACAACATGGAGATCAGACAATTATCTTTTATTAATGCCATTTATAAATCATCAACATTCTTCATTATTTAATTTAATTGATCATGGAAAACGATCACGTTCTTATGATTTGCCAGTAGAACAAACGTATTCGTCTGTTATAGCATAAATTGTTTGTCTGTTGTTTTATTCCCTGTGATATTTTAAATTTTATGAAATTGTTCTTGATGTATATAAATTATAAAATAAATCATTTTTCATTACTTCTGTTTATCGTCTTATGCGAGACATGTAATTGAATATGACATGACCATGAAAGAAAATTTAGGTATTACATTTACATCATTTATACTAATTCAATGACATTAACTAAAATCTTATCTGTCATATTGATATTTCTTTAAAGTAGAAAAATGTCAAACAAAATATATTTGACCTTTAATTAATCATTCATGATTATATCCAAGTTTATCAAATGAACATACAAGTATATTGCCATCATTACAACCTTTTGTTTTCGTTGATAATTTATAACAAGTTATGAAGTTCAAAAATCTATTTTTGTTGTCTATACGAATATTGATAAATGATTTCATTTTGTATTACAAATGAATACAAATCAATGTATGATTTTAAGATCAGATCAAAAACTTTAGAGAAGAACTCGCCTTTTTCTATATTGTAGCTTTTGATGTTTAGAACTGTTCTTTTAATGTACTGATGATGCGTGTCATCATCAGATTAGCTAGTAGAATCTTGGAAAGTCTATAGTTACTTCTTTTATTATAATTTTCCGGTTGTTTTTGTCATCTTATTTTGCTTATCAGAGTTTGCATCTATCTGCTGACATATTTCTTAGGTTTATATTGTGTTGTTGCTGCAAAATGAAAGAAAACATGGTCTTCATTATTACCCCTTCACTAAGTCACCATATGGATTTTGTATTTAGAATTATAACGTATACACCATGAAAAGCATAGCCGAATGTTTATTTTCAAAAGCATTTTCCGAAGATAACATTTGTTTTTTCCTCTTAGAATCAATGGGTTTCAAAAATCTAATATTATCTCACTAGGAAGCCTCTCCAGGAATCAAATCGCACTTTCTACTCGATATGATTTTTATCTAATGAATGATAGAAATGTCTAGAATAGTTTGATTTTTCAGGCCTTCGTTCTTCAGATAGTTTTTCCAACAAAAATATGTAGTTCCACTTAGGTCACATGAAAAATTGACTTTCGGTTTCAAACTTTGTAGAAGAAAAGTTCTCAATACGATTCGTTCACGAGACAAGTTGCAAACTTTTCTAATGCTCCTTATTCTGAACTCTTCAATATTGGAAGTTCTCTCATATGTAACAATGAATTAACATTTCCAGAAAAGAAATATTGGAAGAGCTACAACTTACACAATTAATTAATATCATTAATAACTATGTTTATACAAATTTTGACGTCAAAAATAGAATTTCTACATAACCTGAAGAGAACCGCAACTTTTTGATGCAAAGTTTAGTAAAATTTTGATATTTCAAGAACAAAAGGCTGAAAAACCAAATCATTCTAGACTTGTTCAGTACTTGTCAAATAAACAGAGTTTTGTTCGAAAAACGATTAGACGTCTGAAGAAATTCACTCGTCAGTGATGTATTTTATTACTCTTGTATAAATATAAAAAATTGATCTTAATGTTTCACATAAATTAAACAAAAAAAAAGAAAAAAATTAAAAAGATAAATCTAATCTATTTGATATGGTATTACTTTATAAGGATTAAGAATGCATTGTGGATCGAACATATTTTTCATTTGTTTCATTAATTCTAATGATTGTTTGCCCTTATTTAATTGAAGATATTTTGATTTATGTAAACCAAGACCATGTTCAGCTGATATTGAACCACGTTCTTTAGCAACCCATTCATATAACCATGGTTCAAGTGCATGTTTTATTTCATCTGAATAACCATGTTTAACAGTGATATTTAAATGAAGATTTTGATCACCTAAATGTCCGAAACCAGTAACATTTCGAACATTTGAAAATTGTTTCATGCGTTCTTGTGTTTCTTCAACTAATTTATACATTCGAGATGGTGGTAAAGAAAAATCATATTTAAATACATAACCATCAGCAACAAGAGCTTCGGGTACACGTTCACGTATAGACCATAAATCTTTATATTGTGTAAGATCTTGTGCAAGTGTACCATCTGTAATAAATTCTTTTTCTAATGCAGAATTAGCTAATTTTTCTAATGTTGCTTTAGCTTGTTCATATGTTGAACTCATTGTTTCAACTAATATATAAAATTTATTTGATTCAATAGGTTTATTTTTCTTTAAATTTTTTAATGATAAATTATATGTTGATTCATCTAAAAATTCAATTGCTGATAATGTTTCACCACATATTTTTCTTGCTAATCTCATGGTTGAAAGAATATTTTCAAACGATGAACAAGAAAAAAATCCAAGTCCAACACCTGACATTGCTGATGGACATGCTAATGCAACACGTGTTATTATGCCTAAAATACCTTCAGAACCAATAAATGGTTGTTTAAGATCAATACCAGTATTATCTTTTCGTAATGATGTTAAACAATCAAGTAGACTACCATCAGCTAAAACAATTTCTAAACCAAGTACAGCAGAACGAAGAGAACCATAACGAACAACACGTATTCCACCAGCATTTGTTGCAACATTACCACCAATTAGGCATGATCCTTTTGCACCTAAATCTAATGGCATTGTATGTCCAAATTGTTGTACATGAGTATCTAATGTTTGTAATATACAGCCAGCATCAGCGATTAAAACTCCACTATTTTCATCAAAATCACCAATAGAATTCAGTGAACGTAACGAAAGTACAATTTCATCAAAAACAGGTACTGATCCTCCAGCAAGACCAGTATTTCCACTTTGTGGACATACAGCTAATTGACGTTCATGACAATAACGAAGAACTGCTTGAACTTCATCAACAGTTTTAGGTCGAAGAATAAGTTGCGATTGTCCTTGACATGTTTTTATCCAATCTATATTATATGGTAAACAGTCATCAGGATTTGTTATTGCACGTCCACCTGGAAGAAGTCTTTCAAAAAAACTTATATCTTTATCACCTAACGTAGCATAACGCGAAGAACGACATAAATTAGGATGACGTTCACGAGTTAAAGGAGAAGTTGAAAGACGACGGACAATTTGAGACCACATTGTAGATACTATCTATCTATATATACAGGGTGATTGAAAAATAACTCCCTATTTTAAATTCTTTAGTACTCTCAAATGACAAAAGATATCGTAACGATTATTTCATTGTTTTGAAGCATGTGTCATGCCACTTTATAGTAGATGAAACAAGCCGATTGATCATTTGACTATCTAAGATCAAGCACGAATTTCATCTCGAGAATCTCTGAAAATAACTCATTATTTTGAATACTGGTATTTTCTTATATAAGAACAGCTACTATAATAACCACAGAAGTGTACAGACAATAGAGGAGCCTATGTAGAAATTTGAGACATTATATGTTATTGTATTATGCATAGTTTTAAATAGTACAAAAATTTGTTATAGTATTTGTTGTCGTAAAAGAACAAAAAATTATTCCCAATAAAGAGTTATTTTTAGACATTCTCGAGATGAAATTCGTGCTTGATCTTAGATAGTCAAATAATCAATCGGCTTGTTTCATCTACTATAAAATGGCATGACACATGCTTCAAAACAATGAAATAATCGTTATGATATCTTTTGTCGTTTGAGAGTAATAAAGACTTTAAAATAGGAAGTTACTTTTCAATCACCCTGTATTGGTACGGAGTCTTACCCGAAAAAGCACAACGAAAAATGTGAAACAATAGCAAATCTTCACTGATTGGTGCTTTACATTTTTGACATCGGCCCGATATAAGCTTGGTCACATATTGTAGAGAAAATTTTTCTCTATCGAACTGTATTTTTTATTTTTCGTTAAAAAGTGGCAAGTAAAAAAACAAAAGAGGGCGCCAATAGTATATCATTGAATCATTGGTTCAAAAAAACTGCTCCATTAACCACTTTTAAATGAATTCTATCAAATGTATTTGCTAGTTTTATTAATTACTAATTCATTTCAACAAAATATTCTCTTGGATAGCAAGCTAATGAAGGATATTGAATAGCTCTGTAAGGGAATGAAGAAGCTTTTGAATTCATAAATATATTTATTCAAAAAAAGAAAATAATATTTTATACAAAGCATTAGAATGAAATAATTTTATACGTAAAAGTGTAGCTACATACATGATATACCTGATGAAAAAAATTCACTACATAGTATCATTAATGAAATGAATCAAGTATATGATACAATTGAAAAAAAAAGAAATTTACGAAATTAAAAAAAAAGAAAAACAGGACAGACGAGAAATAGTTTTATACAAAAAGACACATTTATTTTAGATTACATTGACTACGAGATTTTTTATCAAAAAAATTTTTGAAACAAGAACGTCTAACAAGTGTTATTGTTTTGAATATTGATGTTGTTGGTCTTGATGTTATTGGTGTTGATGTTGTGGGTATTGATGGCATTGCTTCAATATTGTAGTTCAAATAATCTTTGACGAATTTTTCTCTTTGAACAGTGCAAATCTTTGTATATTTTGAACGAACTTGTTTACCATGTTTCCCACAAATTCAGCATACGAAACTGTTTGAGGACATTTAAGGCCCCACCCCTCAAAAATTGATCTCAACTCAGAAACATCGGGATCGCATAAAACTTTGAGGATATGTTAGGGGTGTCAAACGACGTCTGTGATAAAATTTTCAGCCTCCTATCCTGATGTATAAGGTAGATACGAACCAAACAAGAGTCGAAAAATACGTTATCGCGTCTCCAAAAAATCTTTATGGGCGTTCATTCAATATGGTCAGGAGCCGCGTGAGCGGGGGGGTGGGGGGTGTACACCTCCCAATAATTGAAAATTTTTATTTTTTTTTCAGCGACGAGAGCAGATTGGGACCGCATTTTATGTTTTTTTTAAGAAATTTTGCTCTAAATACCCTTTTACACCCCCGAAAAAATGTTTACACCCTTTCAAAACCCGCTACACCCCTCCCCCCCACTCTTAGACCCTTCGCGCGGCCCCTGAATATGGTTAATTGTTTTTTCATATGAAGAAGCACCTTAGGATGCAGTACCTATGAGGATCCCTTTTTTATTCTTATCTTTATGATGGAAAAAAGGCTTCACAAGTTCAATCATTCAAAAATCCCTCAAAAAAATGGCGCTCGTATAAAATGACTTATTAATATAAAAATAGCAAAGCTTTATCAAAAAAATGGGCTCTCATAGGCATTGCAGCTTTTGATGCTCTTTCAGACCAAAAAAAAAATATTTGACTTCATATCGCGTTATAGTTGACTTTCGTTGGAGATGCGTCGTTCGACTACCACTTTGAGAAAAAAAGAAAAAGATTCTTGGATTTTTCCAAAAATCGCTGATTTTTGCAATAGAGGTTGTCAAAAATCTTGAAAATTTTTCCGAAAAAAGGAGGTATTGAAGAAAAATTTTTATCGTTTATGAAAGAGTAAAGAACAGGCTATCTCCCTAGGTATTTATCTCAGTTTCCATGATTCTGACGAAAAGTGACTTTTTTCAGAGGGCCTTAACAAAACAATAAAATTTAACAACACTGATTAAATAAACTTTATATTGGTGAACGTCATCTGTACTTCGAAATGATAAGAAAAAAATACTCAGAGTGCGATGGTTAGCAATCATTGTCTATATTGAATCATTGTCATGATCATTGTTAGCAACTAGCCAATAAGTGCCGATCTCGTAAACGCGAGTTGAGCCTGAGAATTTGATATTACTAAAATTTCTATAACACTTTTAGACTTTTAACTATCATTAAAAAAGTTCTCGAAAAAGTGGCCAAGTATGTGGCGCCCTCACATAGTGCATTATTTGATATTGATTCAATGATTCATCGGGCTATGAGCACATACCATATATCAACAATTGATATTTTATTATATTTAATCAAGTAATGAACTGATTCGTCTTTTCTATCGACCAACTCAAAGCAGACAATGTACCTCTTTCTTCCGAAAGACGGCGACGTCTGTACAATTATTCTATGTTCTTTTGAATAAAAGAAAATTTTATAACTTGAATAGTTTATTAGTTTATTTTTATAATATAAATAAAATAAAAAAAGTCATATTATGTTTATAAATTGTGATCAAGCTTGATTAACAAGTGGTATACACAAATCATTAGTACGAAACCAAGGTAATGTCCAAGGTGGATTATAACCACCAACACGAATAGATGCTCGTTCATTAATTAATTGAATTTGATCATTTTCAGCTGCTTTTCGAAGTTCTACTTCCCTTGCAGTGACTCGTTTACTTGTTAAACCCATATTAAATTTAATACAAGCTAATAGTAATGGATCATTAACAGCAACAAGTTTGACATTAACATTCGTTGGTTTAGGTAATTGATCAAGTGTTGAAAATTGACTTGCTGGCATGATAAATACCATACGTCGACTACCAGAATCAGAATCTAATTGTTGCATAATGACAGGTACTGTCATTGGAATTTTTTGTGCTCGTTCATTTTTGCCTGTTATATATTGAAAAAGTGGTTGAAATCCAATAGATAATTTATCACCAAAATCAGTTGATGGATCAACAGTATAATCAACTTGTGCCCATAATTGTGAATGATAACGACGTACTTCATATTTAGCACCTTTTGTAACAATATCATATGGCGGTGTTTCATTATCAATTGTACCAAATAATTGCGATAAAGGATTAGCGAATGCCAGATGAAAACTAAATATCGTCATAAAAGATATAATAATCATCATAGAACGCATATCTGTTTTGTCTACGGATAGAATGATACTCGTCTGTACGTTCGTGCGTTACTTATATATTCTGATAAATGTTCGAGGCAATAACAGAGAATAGAAAGATGAAAGAAGGAAAATAAAGTGATTATATAACCCAGTTATATCATACACAAAAATTCCGCATTTCTATTAAAAAAATTATTTTTATCTGCAACAAATATTTAAATGAATATTTAAAAAATCAAGAAAATATTTATTATCATTTTAGTTTCATTCACAATTATTTCATCAAGTATACTTTTAGTTCATTTATGAAATTGTACAAAATTCTATTTTCTTAAAAGATAGAGGGAAGCAGTTAACACAGTTTAAAAAATATTAGTATATATGCCATAAAGTCATCTCCATTGGCTTTTATAAACTATCGTATCGTTGTATAGATAGACCAGAAAGGAAAAACGAATTGTCAGATTAATTTCGAATACAAAAATCCATTGCGCCAATTTCTTTATTTTTTAATTATGAAAAAAATCTATTCACTTAAATTTGAACTGGAATTGTACTAATAATAAAATTTACATAAAATAACAATATTTCTTTAATCCGTATGTTAATAAATTCATTTCTTTTTCTCATTATTCGATTTAATTTTCAGATCAATGAAGAAAGTAACTGATAATTCAACAAAATCTAAAAATCAAACAACTCTTGGACAATATTGGTCATCAACTGCATCTAAAATGTCAAAACCTACTATTAAACATGAACCAATGGTTCAAGAAGATGATGATATTGAATTACTAACTGCTATGGAACAATTTGAAAAAAATAATACTCCTTCTCGTTCAATAACCACTACCACCACTACTACTACAACGAAAACAACAACAACAGCATCAACATCAAAATGGCCAATATCTCATAAACCAGAACAAAATTCCAAACAAACACATCAAGCATCAATAACAGCACCTCCAAATGATAATGAACAAATGCATACATATCCTGATTTTGATCGACAATCAGGTCGTATATGGATTTATCCAACAAACTATGAAAAACGTGATTATCAATATAAAATAGTTAGTATGGCATTATTTCAAAATACACTTGTTGTTTTACCAACTGGTCTTGGAAAAACATTTATAGCTGCAGTTGTTATGTTTAATTATTGTCGTTGGTATCCAACAGGTAAAATCATATTTACTGCTCCAACTAAACCATTAGTTGCTCAACAAATGGATGCTTGTGCTAAAGTCATGGGTATACGAAAAAGTGAAATGTGTGAAATGACTGGTGGTGTTAGTCCAGAAGAACGAAAAAGACTTTGGTTAGAAAAACGAGTCTTTTTTTTAACACCACAAACATTAAATAATGATCTTGTTAAATCAACTTGTCCATGGTCAAAAATTCGTTGTTTAATTATTGATGAAGCTCATAGAGCACTTGGTCAACATGCTTATTGTCAAGTAGAAACTATTGTTTTGTTTATTTTTGTTTCTTATTTATAGTTTATCTTTTTCTTGAGTTAGGTTGTTCAAGAATTATGTAAAAATGGTGAAGAATTTCGTGTTCTTGGACTTAGTGCAACACCAGGAAATAATGTTGAAGTAAAAAGAAAACACAAAAAATTGATTTTCTTTTTCAATTTGATTTTTTTTTTATTTTTTCCATAAATAGGCTGTACAAAATGTAATTAATAATCTTAAAATATCTCATATTGAAATGCTTACAGATGATTCACCTGAAATAAAAAAATATAGTTTTGATAAAGTAATTGATAAAATTGTTGTTGGACCAAATCAATTAATGCAAAATTTACGACGATGTATCTTAAATATACTTAAACAACCAGTTGAAACACTTAATCGATTAGGAATTTTATATCAAAAAAGTCCAGAATATATTACAAACGGATCAGTTATTTTGACAATGAAAAGAGTGGCAAAAGATAAACCAGCTAATTTAAATGTATGTAAAAAACAAATAACTCATAAAAATATTCGAGAAAATTTTCTATTTTATTTTCCTTTTCCCCCACGAATAGAATATCTGAAAAACCTTAAGTCAAGTTTTTCATCATCTGAAATTGACAAATAACATCCTGATTGAATTACTCAGAATGATAGATTCAACAACTCTTTAAAGAATAACATGGGGAGAATGATAGATTTCGAGACTGAAGTTTTAGTTGTTTTTCCCTCGTAAATAAGCTGTCTTTCAACTCTCAAAGACGTTCTTTAAACGAGATACATTAGTTTTATAAAAGGCACGGAAATAAAAGAACACATGAGGCGGCTTTTGTTTCTTTCCTTTGTGTCTTGGTTCGAAAATCTCGTAGAGACTTAGAAGACATAGAATTTTGTTTGTTCCATCATTTTCAATAATTCAAACAGAATTCTATTAACTAATACTAGAAGCTCAAAAACTTGGTTTTAAGTTTCTCAGATGCTCTATATTTGAAAAAGTTTCGATAATTTTCATCTTCAAAAAAATCTTGTTGGAAATATCATTCTCTATTCAGATTAATATCTGAATTTTTCTTAACATTTAAGAAAGTAGAAAGAAAATGAAAATAAATTTGGTAGAATAATTCTTGAACTTATTGTATATCTTCATTGAAAAAACTTCGAAATGGATATCAGATTATCGCATTCTTATTTCATAACGTATTGTACATTGTAAGCATGATTATCTAGTTATATTCAGTTGGTTTCCAGATACTTGTAAGAATATTTACTAAAAGTTTTAGAGTACACAGTAAGATGTAGAAACAAAAGGACCAACTTTTGATCATCAGTGCATTTAGATGTATATATTCATAAAGATGTGTTTTTAATCAATAAGCATAATCAGATAGATAAAAACTAGCTCATCTTTACGTTGAATGTTATTATAAGATGGTCAGTTAGTTGATGAAAAATAAAAGAAAAAAAGACTTATTAAACTGATTTCAGCTGATCAATAGAGCTCATCGGGTTGTTTTCAGGTTCAGTCGGGTCTGGCTCTAAAGACTTTCTATTAACTGATCCAGGTTCAAAACTTGTGGACCAGATGGGCTTTACTGGTAAATCATTTTTCATAATCATAGTTGATGTGAAAATCGAACTAATTTTATCTTAGGTTTTTTTTTGATAATTCTTAGTGAATCTTGAGTGTTAAAACGACATATTTCTATTAATTTGTTAGATTTTTCATCTATTAAAATTTTTTTAACCGTTTGATATGAATGATTGATAAATAAAATTCGTGTTTTTCTAGGACAAACAATATCAAGAAGCTAAAAATGCACTTTTCTTTGCTATATCATTTTTTCATGCTCTTGATGAATTAGAAAAACATGGTCTACAATCTGTATATAATTTCTTTAAAAAAAAATTAACTGAAGATAAAAGAAATGGTTCTTTACATTTCACATTTCGAAATAATTCTGAATTAAGTGAAATATATACTGAATTACAAAATTTATTTGACTTATCACAAGTTAGTACACAACAACGATGTCAAACCAGTCTTCTAATAGCTCATCCTAAATTATCAAAATTACGTGAATGTGTTGTCGAACATTTTCAAACATTTGAACGTACAAAAACAAAACCAACCGATCAAACACGAGTTATTATATTTAGTGAAAAACGTGATAGTGTTAGAGAAATAACAGAACTTCTTGAACAAGATCGACCATTAGTTAAACCAATGTCATTTATTGGACAAGCAACATCTCATGGTGCAGGTACGTTGATTGAATCTTGAGAATAGACTTTGAGCGACTTTTTTGAAAATTGATGAGTAACACATACAATAAAACGCTGGAACTTCGTTGGATAGACAAGTATTGAATTTGAACTCTAGCTTAGTGTTTGGAACAGAAGTTTAGAAAACTATTCACCTAATTCAGACAATACTGGGTATTTGGATTATTGTCAAAGCGTTTCTTGAGGTATATGAACACTCATGGATGTTGGTCTAGGATACTTGCTCACGGACAGTTGCTTACATGCTTATTAGTGCAGATATGGATGTGAAGAAAGAGAAGACTCAGACTCACAATCACTTCCTTCGCACCTACACTTGCGAGCAACTGTCCGGCTTCGTATTAAAGTACCCTAAGGTTTCGTTAAGCGTAAGTCCGCGTATATCTGAACATTGTTGACTTTTCAGTATGCGCATAAGTCTTCGACTTTTGAATTATTTATTTCATTGTGTGTAGATCTACCATGTCAAGCCTGGAATTTTTTTGATTCACTTCTACTTCTTTTTAATCAATGACTAAAAAATGAGCGCAGTGAAGACTGAATTCGAACCTGTACGTTCGAGTTCAGAGAGAAAAATGATAATATCTTCAGACTGGTGGATCACCCATGATATTTTCATATATGTATATATATATATATGTATATTTTATAAATAAACAATTATATTTAGAGGGTATTAATCAAAAATTACAGAAAAAAGTTGTGAATGATTTTCGTGCTGGTGGTTATAATGTACTTGTTGCAACATCAATTGGTGAAGAAGGTTTAGATATTGGTAGTGTTGATTTAATTATTTGTTTTGATGCACTTAAATCACCTATTCGACTTGTTCAACGTATGGGTCGAACAGGACGTGCTCGACAAGGTCGAATTGTTCTTCTTATGACTGAGTTCGTTTTTTTTAATATTTTATTCTTTAATTTAATTCTTTATGTATTCAGAGGTAAAGAAGAACGAACATATTATGAAGGTGAAATGCAACAAAAACGTATATTTAAATTAATTGTTGATGGTGCACGTATGTTACAATTATATCGTAATAATCTTCGAATGGTTCCCCATGATATTCAACCAATATGTCAAGAAATGTTAATTAAAATGAATGATGAAATAGATCTATCAGAAAAAGATAATAAAAAAAAATTCAAAACCAATGATTCTGATTTTAAGACAATGATTAATAAAACTAAACAACAAGGTTAAAAATAAAAGAATGATTTAATTCTCTTCTATTTTTCTAATATGGTTTCATTTTTCTAGAAACTTTATTGAAATTATTTCGTAAAGATAAATTACTTAATGATAATGAATTTTATCATTGGGTAAGAAATTATCAATTAAATGATAATAATGATGATGACAAAATGCCTACTCCTATTGTAAGTTGATTTTTTTATTTTCGTTTATTCAATGTATTCTTAAAAAGATTTTATATTATAGAAAGATCGTTTGATTTTAATGACTAAAACAGCCATGAAAAAATGGTCAAATGAACAACGAGAAATTCAAAGTCCTTCAATGCACTCATCGCGAACAAAAATATTTGTAAATTTTATGAAAAATTATACAAACGAAAGAGTTTATGTTGATATTCCAAATAATGTAAGTTATATCGATGACTCGAATATATTGAATCATAGAGTTATTTTAAAGTTATAATACTAAATAAGAAATTCCATTTGATATTTTCATAGAAAAAAGTTATTAGAGCAGTCCCGATGAGATTCAAATGTGAAACACGATTCAGCAGCTACTGATCATCACAGGAAGATTGCTTTATTCTATCTATTTTGGAACACATCACTTCAACATAGTGAATCCTCCATCAAAATGTAATAGCAGCATAGTTCATATCTTAAAACGAGACGTTAGTGATATACTATCTTTGATGGGATATCAATGTCTGTCACAGTGAGTAAAAACATTGTCAAGGCATCTGCCGCAGTCTGTGATAATCTCTAAATAACGTCTATGATTGTCCTTGACAAGTACGTGTCACGGTCTGTAATAGTCTCTAATTAGTGTCTGTCATGGGCAGCGATAGCCTCTAAATAACGCCGGTCATAGTTTGCGATGGTCCCTAGCTAGTATCTATTACTGTCTGTGGCGGATTCAGACTTTTACCCTAATACTTTACGACTTCTTTTAGATTGTGTTTGATTAAAAAAAAAAGGCATGAACCTATTTTAGACATGGCCAATTGATGAATCAATAACAAAACATGAACCAACAACAGTAGAAACCAATATTCCTAATCGACCGAAAATGCCATCACCATTTGATCGATCAAAATTAGAAGACCAAATAAAAACTAAACGATCTTGTTCGCCACTTGATCTAGCAAAAATGCCAGAAGAATGTGATCAATTATTAAATCTTCAACCAATTATTTATCAACAACAAGAAGAAATACTTGATGAAGAAATTGATTGTGGAGATTTATTTGGTAGTAAGTATTTATATGTTGTTTTTTCAAAAGAAAAGAACAATATATTTTGTTTTAAATATTTAATTTATAAATTTTAGCTGGTTCAAAATTTGACGTAACGTCTACACATTCAGAATTAATTCTTCCAGAAGTATCAAATTCAGTACAAAATAAATCAATACAGGATCATAATGATGATATTGTATGTTCTAATGTTACAATTAATGATAATAATGACAATATTGGAAATTTTAATATTACTATTGATGATCTATTTCCATCATCTCAAGTATCTCATTCATCTCCAACATTACAATTAAATGATATACAATCTCAACAGAAAAATGTTTTTGATGATGATGATATGGATGACGATGAATTATTAGAAGCCTTTAATAAACATATTGAATCATCATCAAATCAGATAACTAATCCAAGTCCTGTATTAATACTTACTAATAGAATTAATACACAAACTCAAGAAAATATTCAAACAACTGATGTTACATTACCAAAATTTGATTTAGAATTTAGTTTTGATGACCTTGATAGCAGTGATGAACAAATGGACAATGTACTTGACATGTAAGTTTTCATTTGTATTTCTTCTTAAAAGAAAATATACTTATATCTTGATGAAGTATGATAATTTAAAAAAAAAAGGATTCAGTCCTGTTGACAGTTTTTTTCGAGTTATGATTTCTATGTAACGCTTTCGATTCGCCATAAGACATATTTTGGTTCGATATTTGGACCGTATGTAGGCTGCAAAATCACTAGAATATTTCAGCAGCTTTAGCCAAAACCAATTACTCCCTGTTGGGATAACAAGTGAACTTTTCGAATTAATAATAAAATTATTTTTGTTATTAAGTTCGATTATCTCAGCAAGGTAGCATTGATTTACGTAGCTAGTTTAGAGCATGCTAATGACACTGAAGTTTTCACATGGGTTAAATTTCAAGTTAGAAATATCTTATTCGAGTTTTTTAATATTAAAGATGATGAGAATAAGGAAGAGGTGATAGGAACCTTTCTTTAATGTCTGAAAAATATGATATAAACTAATAAAAATCAAGTTTATCTATAAATATTCATTGTAGTGTTTATACTATTCGAACATTTTAATGGTTTTTATCTTATCCCTTAAAGTCATCTTGTATACTGAAAAGTGCTTTTAACGGTATCAGCTTCTATCTCGATGACCTAATGAAATAAATAAGAAATCATTTCGAAAAATAAGTTACTATAGCTCTCTGCACTATAAATATAACTTGACACTCACATTTTTCGTTATAGGTAGGACTCTTGAAGTTACCCATTACGTGTATGAATGATAACATAATCATACGAGTACATTTTTAAGTTCAAAGAAATGCTCAATCTCTTTGTGTTTAGTGTAATCATAAATACTAACTATTAAATGTAAGATCAACTATGGCTTTGAAATGACTCTTCATAATCGAACTCAAGCCTACCTTTTGCATTGCACTGTAAAACTCTAGTTTAATAAAATTATTTTTCTTTATTCTGTTTTAGTACTAAATATGAAACAACGAATAAAAATAATGTAACAACATGTTCCGATAAATTTGAAACACCAATTCGACGAGTTCCATCTAAAAAACGTATTCGACGTCTTTCAACAACAACACCTGATATAATTGAAAGAAAAAAATCTAAAAGTGTACAAGAACTCAATATTAAACAACAAGAACGACATTTTCATCGACGACTTGCATCAGATTTTCTCGATCGTGAAGCTATTGTTGATGAAGCATTGTCTAATATAGTATCATCTGATGAAGATGAAAATGATGATAAGAATCACCATAATAATGATCTAAATGAACATGATCATTTTATTGATGACCGACAAGTTCTAACACAAATGGCAAATATCGATATGACAAGTGTTTATTTAAAAAGTATAAAAAGTCCAAAAGTAAATTTCCGTCCGCCACCACCACCGATTCCAATTGAAGATATTTATTCTCAATTACCAAATATGACAATGCATGATGATAATTATGATGAAGATGATAGTTTTGTTGATGATACAACACAAATAATAGATGATCATCATGGTGAAGTTGATTTTGATGAACTCGCAAATATTCTTGGCACTCAATCAGTTGTACATCGTCAAAGTAAAGTAACAAGACGTGGAGTTAAATTCGGACGAACATCAGAAACAACAACACCTAAACGAAAACCAACACGTCGAGTTCAAATAGCACAAAGTCCTATGTAGTTGCTCGTTTAATATCTTTATAGTTTACTGTATATTATAACTACTTTTTTTCTGTCATATTATAATTTTTCGGTGCTGATATATTTTCTTTCTTTTTCTTTTCTTCTTGTTATCTATGTATAGTTATATTTATTATAAGAATGATCTACAAAACGTTGACTATAACAGCTAAATAAAAAAGACCACATTAAGCAGAATAAATTATTGAAAAGTAAAATTTGGTTCTATTTTTATTACAAAAATAAGTTTTTGTTTTAATTTTGAGCAAAGTAAATCAATTTTATAGTCTCGTAACTTTGTATGATGCAATATAAATATAATTCGAAAATCATTTGATTACAAAAGCTTTTAGCACAATCCTTGTGAAATTAAAATGTGAAACATGATCTAGCTGAGGATTCTTAATCACAGAAGAATATTTTACTCAATCTATTTTGGTACATATATCTTCATCGTACGTTTACATAATCCTCCAGTAGTGCAATAAAGAAGAAGTTCATGTATTCATTAACGATGTGCAGTCTTCGATCGAATATTAATAATGGCTGTGGCGAATCGATAGGGATGACTCTGGACATGTCACTAACGACTAGTTGTCTCGGATCAGCAGCCCGATAGTACGCTGATCACGTTTTGACATACACGTCCTTTTATGGTTAGTATGTATTTAGTTAGTATGTATGGTAAGCTCCAGCGATTATGCTCAAGAACTTTGCATCATGGTAGCATTCTGCCCAAAGCTACAGCTAACCATAACTGTATGAAGGATATCTGATGATTGAATCTGCTGCTAGACTGCATCTATATTGCTAGGTACCTGAAAGATAAGGGTATTCTTTCTTCTACCTCTCTACTTTAACATTCCTTTTTGATCGTGTTTCACAAAGTTATCTATGTTAACAATTGTATTCAAGCAAAAATCAGTAGATGTCATAAATTTTCAAATCGTATACTTTCTGCATTATGTAGTCTTCTGTCTTAAAAGAGAAACTATGTTCTCATCGCAACTTAAAAAGAATAGAGAATGTTACAAAGGATACAATATATAAAAATTAAAAGATATATTCTTTCAGTATCCTATGCGGTTTTTGGTGATGTCTTTCACTCATAATTTGCTTGTATTCTTGTTGATTATTTCTTGGTAGAAAAATTCCGAAGCAAAGACATGTTCAAAGATCGTCCTGTTTATTTTCAATTGATCTAATTTTCATTCAATGCAGATATATTTATTTCTGTGTCTAATTTATCTCTTATAAACTTAAAACATGCTATCAACGACGTGTTTTATTTTTCTCATCGATCATGCTGTCACTGATTGCGCATTTATTGTAAATATTTCACATAGTTGAAGGTTATATCATCCATCTTCTTTATCGTGTCTTGACGGACGAATAAAAAAAATGGATAGTTTGTCTTGGAGAATAAACATGTGAAGCTGCGTTCCATACAAAACAAAGAGAGAATGTGATCGAGGCCAATCGATATCGATATATGGTTATACATATATATCTGATCATACTTTTTGTTTTCTTGCCTTACATTCCTTCGTAGACATTTTATTCGTATTACGATTCTCATTCCAATATATTGATTATGTCGAATACAACTTCGCCCACTGCCAAATCATCATCCAATTCAGCCCAAGTACATTCAGCACAAGCTGAAAATGTTCTTGTACAATCGGTTGTTCAAAGCGAAACACAATCGAAAGTTAGTATTGCAAATAACAAGAAGATAGCAGATCTTATGGCACGTCTTGGTAAGTTTCATATAAAATTAATATAATAATGAATAAAGATCTGTAACGTTTCATTGAAGGAACAACTTATCATCAAGTTGATAAATATTCACGTAAACGTACTGAAGAAATTAATGAAGCTGTTGCTGAATCAATTAAAAAGATTGTTGCTGAAACACAGTTACAACAACAACAACTTCTTGATGATGCTAATTTACGTACAAACGGTAAATTCAGTTTTTATGCGTTGAAATTGTTTTTCTTAATTAGTTTATTTTTTTTTAAGAAATTGAAAATGAATTTAAATCAAGATTACAAGAATATGTTGCTAAACTTGATAATGAAAAAGCAGCTTTACTTGTTCAACTTGAAAGAGATCTTGATGTACGACAAGAAGCTATACTTGAATCAGCTCGTAAACGTATTGATGATCTTAATTCAGAGGCTAATCGTCTAAAAATGGTTAGTTTAAAATATTATGGGTAGCACAGATTAAATGAGACGTAATCATTTTCCTTGTTTTGAACACTTCGATAATCGTTCTATGTTCAATCGTCTACTTGTACTTTTCTGCAGATATCTGTTGATATGTGTAAGTATTTGCCCATAAAGACCGATGCTAAAAGTAACGTATGTAACCTCAATGGATAGAAAATGTTTGTACTCTTTGCTTCCACGATCTTTTTAAGATTCCTGCTGCTATTTTTTAAGAGAAAAAGGTTGAAAACTAACATCTATAAGGATGAATACAAGTTTGGAGCAATCGTATTTTCAAGTGGTATTCTCAATGGTAATAGCTTAGATGAATTTGAAAAAAATATTTGAATAGTCGAAAGGATTTTCTATTAAGATTAGTGGACCAAAAAACTTCAATAAAACTATTTAAATAACGATGTCTGGAAAATCAAAAACTTCCAAATCCGTTTTTCAGCAGACATTTGAAGCTTTTTGAAAATGATTTCATTGAATAAGTCAAAAGGAAATGTTTTGTCTTTTCTCATGATGTTCCTACATCAAACTGCGTTCGATTTATGAAAGTTTCCAAAGCGTTAAGCACGACGAAATCCTTGAATTTTTTTTGATAAAAACAAAAAATGCTTCTGAAATCTTCTAAAACCTAAATACAGTTCAATAAAGGAACGTCATAGAAAGAGGCAAGACATCTAATTTTGCTTTATCAAATAAAATCATTTCCAAAAAGTTTCAAATGAGTGCCACAAAACAAGTTTTAAAGATCTAGAGTTTTCAGACATTTGTACATTGAGACGAATACTTTTGTAGTTATATTTAAGTACGAAAAACAGGGCTTTGTACTGTTTAGTTGGGATATCGATAAAATAAATTTTATCAATAAGGTTAACTTGGTTTGACGAGTTTCTAAAGACCATTGTAATATCTTTTGATGAACATAACATGACAATAAAAATACTTTAATGAAAATTTTTATTCTAAGAAGCTGATAGATGAATGAAACGAGAATCATTATTTTCAGATGTCCACCCTAATTCTAAAGAAAACGAATAATAAAGAAAGATATACAGTGGAGTTATCGGCGTATTAGAGTAAACATTTTCATTAAAATGCTTTTATTGTCCTGTTTTGCTCATCAGAAAATATTACAATGGTCTTTAAAAAACTGTCAGATTTAGTCAATCTTATTAACGAAATTTATTTTATCTATAAATCAATTAAAAAGTACAAAGTCCTATTATTCGTACTTAACTACAAGTAGAAAAGTATTCATCTTAAAATACAAATATAAGTATTTTATGTTTGTCTAACCTCTACTTATTGTATAAAACGTTCATTTCAATAATGTCTAATGTAGAATTTAATTCTGAACAAATTGATGCGATTATTAAATTGAAGATTAAAAACAAGATTAAAAACAATTAAGTTTTCTTGAATAAAAAAAAGTAGTCACATAATTCTCTTAGAAAATGTTGTTTTTGAGTGTTTTTTCTGATAAGTATTTTTCCTAAAACTGTGAAGTATACATCGAAAGAAAGGGACTTTTGTAATATGTTTCAAATCTCAGATAAACATTCATTAAAAATTTTGCATTACCGTTTTTGATTATGGCAGTTAAACAATTAAGAATGCGCTAATCTTTTGTATTTAATTTCCACAAGAAAAATTTATTTAAAAACTAAAGTTAGCAGTGTTTTATAAAGCAACAAATTTTTTATCGATGAAGTACAGAACTAAATTCTAAAACGTATCGAAGTGTTTTTGTCCTATTTAATCTTCGCTACCCGTCATATTCTTTTATTTTTCAAAGAACTATAATGAATTGTTTGTTTTTCATTCTAGAATGTTCTTAAAGACTGTCAAGCTCAAAGCAGTGCAGAAATTAGTAAACATCTCAAACTATTTATTTGATTTGTTGATTTTTTTTTTCTAATAGCGAAAATCACTGAACAAGTTGCTGCTCTTGAACATCAAGAAGCGTCACGTCGTCTTGCATCAACCACTACAACAGTCTATAAACTTTTCTTTTCTTTAATTCCTTTGATATCATTTAATTTTTTTAAATAGACTATTACAACTAAATCAGTGGCTGCCGGTGAAACACATGCTCACGATCATTCAGTAACAAATGACAAATCAACAACACATGTCGAAACATTGAAATCATCAAGCAGCTCATCACCAACATCTGAATCTCGTGAAAAATAAATTAGAAAAATTTTTTTTTTCTTTATTTTGATTCTATTCATCAATAAACAAGAAGATTTGCAAAGAAAAAAATTTGTTTTTCAATTTTAAAATTTGATTGCAAAGAAGATGCTTGATTTGAACTAATCTATTTTTCATTCTGAACTACTAAAAGATAGTCCTACACTCGAACTCTGAAGAAAACACTTGATAGATAAACGAAACGAAGAGAGCCTTCGTAGAATACTCTTATCGTATGAATATTGTCCGTCTTTTTTTCATCTACGTGAAACAATTATCAATAAACAAACGAGACAAAAGCTATTGTAAAATGTCAATGAACACATTTGTCTTATCGGTGACCATATAAAAACAATAGTTCACGAGAGAAATTTCATTGACATCAACCTCCAATATTCAGTCCATCATGAATAGCAAGTATGAATTTTCTTTTTAACAAAAACGAAAAAGAAGATCAATAAAATATTTTGATATTCTTTTTTTCTTGTACAGGTTTTTAGTATTCTTCATCGCTTCAGTTGCCTTATGGCAAGTAACCAAAGCACTTGTTATTAAAGATCAAGAATCAGTGGCTGATGTTGATCAACGTAATTTATTTTATCTCATTTATCTAATGGTTTTTATTTTTATTTTTCTTAACAGCTACTACTGTTGTTGTCAATACTGTACCAAGCATTGATGATACGGTATCTTCAGCAATTGCAACTAACGAAGGTGAGAAACTATCTGTACAATCAGATGACGAAGAAAAACACTACGCATCAAATGATAAAATTGATGGTAATGGTTTAAATAAACGAAATAGTGAAGACCAAATGTTGACATCGACAGTAGAAGTAAACGAAGTTGTCCAAACACCTTTAAATGATGACAAGGACGGTAGCGGTCTCACATCAATCATAGAAGGAGACGAAAAGGAAACAAAATCGGAAGAAGCACAAAAATCATGTGCTGCTAATGATGAAGAAACAATGACAACGTCAACTACCGAAAGACATTCTCAAGCTGAAGAAGTAGACGAAGAAGAGCCAGATGATGTTGGAAAAAGCGAAGATGACCAGGATGCTACTGACTAATAATGACTTGTCAATCTTGAGTATAACTCATTTTTACTACTTTTTTTTTCTTTCTCTGTAGGTTTGTTAACTCTAAAATGTATGTAGACGTGCTTGAAATGTAGAAAATAGTTATTGCGAGCGTAGCAAGTGATGTTTGCAATTAACCATCCGGAAAAAAGAAATAATTATTCATATAAATATACACTGGCGCTCCAAATTGATCGAACACCTGACAAATGACGTTGTTTCTTTAATATCTTCAAATCAGTTCATGTAGAGCTTTTGGTTTTTGCCAAAATATAGCCCAGTTGCTATAGTAATTATATATGCTGAAATGTTCATCTTTCTGAGTCGTATATTTATTGTGTTAGACCTATTTTTTTGGATTTGTCTCAAAATCGATCGTACATCTAGCACAAAAATAGATATGTAATAATCAGTTAAAACTGTCGTATTTCATCCTTCTAAAGGAGAACATGTATTTCTAAAAGATGTCAACGAAGTTTCATTTGAGTTTTCAGTTAAAACATTTAAAAAAACGCGTCTTCTCATTCAGAAGGATGAAGTACGACAGTTTTAATTGATTATTACGTATCTATTTTTGTGCTAGATGTACGATCGATTTTGAGGCAAATCAAAAATAAATGGATCTGGCACAATAAATATGCAACTCAGAAAGATAAACATTTCAACGTTTATAATTACTATGGCAACTGGACTATATTTTGACAAAAACCAAAAGCTCTACATCATGAACTGATTTTAAAATATTAAATAAACAGCGTCATTTGTCAAGTGTTTGATCAATTTTGAACACTACTGTATCTATGGAAGAACTCAATCAACTTGCATATTTCAGTTATTTTTTCTTGTATAGTCTCAACTGTATATTCAAAATATATGATCTTAGTCTCCATTATAGTACATACGTTATGGTGATCACTTGTTTTTATTCGGATTCTCTGTCTGTGACAAATTAAAACACTTGCTGAAAACTTTCTCAAGATCATTTAATGAAATATGCATCTGTAAGTAAACGATGTCAAGAAAGATCTCGAGAAATATATTTGTTTATTTACAACAAACAGCACTTGAATAAAGCAAATGATCAGCATTATGCATGCGCTCTAACTGATACATAAGCCCTATTTTTCATATATATGGTTTCAGTTACTAAAAAAAAGTAACAGAGGTATTCTACTTGAGTGAATAGCCCAAAATGTATATATAAGTTCTCCTAGTAGTAGATTAATTCATTCTGTTACAAATACATCAATTTTGAATCTTTTTATCTCATATTTCAATAAACATATATCATTATATAATTGTTTTCGTTGATTAAATTGGTTTTATGTGAACTAATATGCAATCTAACGATTCTATTAGATTCTTGCATAATTTTCTTTTTTTTTTGATTACTTCCGATACTTTTTTTCTCTTCTTGATCGATTATATAAAAGAGAAGAAAAGCAATGCACGTTGACACTATTTAAAATCATTCATCCGTACACTTTCTTATTTATTCGGCTATTGTTATTGTACGTGCATTCGTTTGCATGTATTAAGCAGAAAGAAGAATATGATATCACAAATACTTATGTTAATATCCTCTCTCAAGGTAAGTGATGGTTGATTGAGTAAAACATATTTATTATTTTAAATCACCCGTAACAAATCTTAATTCGTTTTTTTTTCATTATAACAGTTCAGAAAAATGTTATTACCCGAATCAATCTATAAACATGACAATGATTTAAAAAGAATTCAAGCTTCCTATTTATCATCAGTTCGTTCGATATCATTAATACTAAATATAATTCTATTTCTGGCTATATGCATATTTATTCTATGTTTATTACGTGTTATTATGTATGAAGAAGCAATTTCTAAAACACCGACAAGTACATTACCAATACCTCATCAATCTAAGCAGCATAAAACTATTCCACGTAAAGAATATTATTATGATTATGAGCCTTATCTTAAAAATGTAACATTGACACCAAAAAATAAAACTCGTCGATTTTTTTATGTGGATCTAGGATGTTTTGATGGTCGTGATATTGATTATTTTTTACATTTTCATTCAGCAGCTATAGCACGTTTAGGAACACTTCATATTATTGCATTTGAACCTGATCCAATAAATTTTTCTTCCTGTAAGCTAACACAACAACGGTATAGACCGATTCAAGGAACAGTTTATGATGTTGCTATTTGGACTGAAAATGGTCAAGTACGATATGCATCAGAAAAAGGACAAAAATCTAAAATAGATTCAAATTCAGCATTATATGTTCGATCAGTTGATTTTTCAATATGGATGACAGAAAATTTTCGTGTAGATGATTATGTTTATATTAAATTTACAATTGAAGGAGCTGAAATACCTGTTTTAGAAAAAATGGTTCTTGATGAAAGTTTAGCATTAGTTGATCATTTGGAAATTGAATGGCATGATGAATTATCACCTGATTTTGAACCAAGACGCATAGCACTTGAATGTATGTTTGATAATTTTGGAATGGATTTTTTTTATATGATCAATCCAGTTGATTTAAGACATGCTTACAATATGAAAGAGAACTTTGAAGCTGTCCCAAAAGATAGAGGATGGTATATTTTACAAAATATGATGGTTGGTTTTTATTTCCTTTTTCTATTTTTTTTAGGAGATTAAAAGACCCATTGGCTCGCTTTTTTTACAAAACTAGAAAAGAAGTACCCGATTTATTAATTGAACGATTACAACAAAGACAAACAAAACTTCCTTCTAATTGAATAAGTCAATAAACTCTAGTCATTCTCATCATCATCTTCATTATTTTTTTTTATTAATATTTATATGATAACATCAAATGACAATAAGCAAATAAACGAAAAACAAAGAAGAAAAAGAAGTTTGATCCACAACACACAAAGATAATAAAATGAGAAAAGCAGAAATGATTTAAGATCAATTCGAAACTGCACATTAAAATTTTTATTAATTTTTTCCTTGTTCAATACCAATTACGATGTAAATAACGTGCTAAACTGCCAAGCATATACTTGATCAAATAGATAAATAGCACCGCATATCTTAGTCATAAAGTAACACAACCTTGCTTTTCTTTAAATGGATTTTCTCTTGCAAATCCAGCCCAACCACGAACTAAAACATCGCCACTTTCATGATCTTGACAAAATTTGATTAAATCTTTGCATACAATCGATACTTTAACACGTTCAATATTAGCTTCAGCTCGTAATTGTTCTACTAATTTTTGTTTATTGGCTATTGTCGACATTGTATATCTATGTTCGTTTAAATAAATAATAAAATAATAAGATTTGACTGGACATAGTACTTACGATTTATCGAAAAGATTAATAAGAAAAATTTTAATCTACAAAAAAGAAAAAAAACGACAAATTAAAGCCAACTTGAAAAGCTAGAATAAATGAATCTAGTGTTACACATCCGTTTTTTTTTCTTCTCAGTGTGTAACTGATGAACGTTCACAGGTTTCCATTTTTCTTTTTCTTCATCGTCTGTTTTTTCTCAGTCAGAAAGAAAGGAAAGGTGATCATTTTTTTCTGTCTTTCTTTCTTTGAGACAGGAAGTTAGACAAACGAACAATGAGGCCATTTTTCAAAACTACAACTTAGCTTTCTTTTGCCTATGTTCTTTTTTTTTTCTTTCTTTTCCTTGTGACGTCCCGTCATTGACAACGCCGTAAGGGATAATCATTTCACGCTTATATTCATAGATAAATACGCACAGAAAAATGTTTGATGGCAATATATCACGATTATTATTTCGTAAACTATTCCATTGGCGCATAAGTTCTGAGAGTTTGGATCAGTAGAATAATATCGCCAATATAAAACTACATTTTAAGGAAAGTAATTATATATTCTGATAGCGCTTGGAATTCTCTATCACCCTGTGTATTTAAGTCTTGACTTGTATTTATTTGTTGAAAAGTATTTTGAATACAATGAAGATATCTTCACCCGTATTGACAATGTTCGAAATATTTCTCAGCAAATAAGTTTAAGTCAAGAACTGAATACACAGGGCGATAGAGCATTTCAAGAGCTCTCAGAATATATAATTACTTTTCTAAAAAAAACGGATTACTATATAGATAAAAATTTTAAAAACACATGAGAAAAGAAGAAAAAATGAAGTTTGTGGGAATCTGAGGGCGGGGGTGTCTTCACTGTACTCAAACTATTTTTCAGCAAATAAATGGAAGTCAAGACTTAAATACACAGGGTGATAGAGAATTCCGAGCGCTATCAGAATATATAATTGCTTTCCTTAAAATGTAGTTTTATATTGGCGATATTATTCTACTGATCCAAACTCACAGAACTTATGCGCCAATGGAATAGCATCTTTATTTTCTTAGGCCTATTGCCATCATGGGATCGAAAGCGCGAATAATAACTATCTATGTTCTATCATTCGTAATAATGACATTTGAACAAAAATGTCCTTTCTGTTTGTTTGATCATGCGTATGAAAATCTAAAATAAGAAAAAAAAAACATGAATAAATAAAAGAAAGAACATGTTATTAATTATACATATAATGGCGGCTATTTATTTCATTTTGCATAAATCCTAGAAATTTGTTTTTCCTCTTATTTTATCTGATGTATATATTTAAAAAAAAGGGTGTGGGTCAAATATAAACTTAAATTATCATTGATTGATCTTAGCAACTTATATACGAAACGCAATATTTTGTGTGGTCCGTTTTCTAGAAAAAAAAAACAGTGCAACTTTCATTAAAATATTCATTTTGAAACGTTAAACATGTGTTTGTAACTCAATATATAATTCAGTAATATGGAAGTGAATATCATCTACAAATATAAATAATTAGTCTCAGCACGCTATTATAATGGGAATTATTCACTTAACAGAAAAGAAAAAGAAAGAAGAAAAAACTAAACATGAGCTTGTATGGATATATTTCTGCATTTTGATCGTCGTATTTACACAAAAACCACTAATCAATACACTATTCGCATAAACGTTATGACAAAACAGAAGACAAAAAACCAAGAAATAATCGTCATTCAATAAATGTTGTAATTTGTAATTTTTTTTTGTCTCTAAAATCTCATTCAATCAATATGAAAGAAAACAATAAAATATATCACGAGAGATTTTTAGAGAGAAAGATAAATAAACAAAAACAAAAAGCATAAGTAAATGAATTAGTAACCATATTTAATATCCTAGATATAATAAATGAACGAGATTCGAAAAAAATTATTTTTTTTATTTTGCATCAAAATTGTTCACGAGTTTGATAAATGTCGTGGTGCGTTTGCAAACATAACTTTTAATTGGTATGCTTCAGCTGTTAATATACTTATATCATTACTTGTCCATGAATGTGTTGGTAAATTTTGTAGAAGAAGTAAAATACCCTGATGAAGATTTAAACATTAAAAAAAGCTAGTAAAGAAAAGTTTTTTTTTCTACCTGAAAATCTTTTTCACGTAAAAGATCTTTTGAAAAACGAACAAGAAACGATGCACATATATACAAATGAAATTGTGAAAATCCATTTTGTTCAGACTAGAAATAAATTTTCTTCAGTTTATTATTTTTATTTTTTTTACCAAGAGATTGACATACGAGATATGTATCCCAAAGACGAATTGTACAGCGTACGGGTAACTCACGCATCAGTAAATTATTCATCCAACGAAACGCAAATTGTAAAAATTCAATATGCTGATTTTTCAAATGTCGATACAATGGTTCTAAATGAACAGCAAAAACTTCTAATTAAAAAAAAACACAAGAATTTTTATTGTTGTTATTAACAAACCATCAATACGTTTAACAAGTTCTTCAAGTGTTCGAACTTTATATTGTATACCGGGTTGAGCAAATGTATAATTATCTTGAATACCCTCAAGTAAATGTGATGTAGCCCAATAGCTATCAGCTTCAACAATTTTGCGATTTGTTTCTGGTAATGAACTAATATCAAAATTTTCAATTTCAACATCTAATGTAAAAACAATTTAATAATACATTTTTTATTGAATAGAAGGAAGCTTTAACTAACCATTTTCAATGAATTCAGAAAGAAAAACAACAAAAAATGGTGTAACAAGATCATTAATACCTTGAACATAACCACTAGCTGGATGACGAATTGCCCATATAAATAAAATACGTTCAAATAATTCTTGCACAACTGTTTGTTGAAATATTGGCATTAATGGATTCATTCGTGGAATGTCTATATGAATCTAAATCAGTAATAATTCATATTGTAGCTGTTTTCTTTTGACTTATATAAAGATCTTCATATTCTGCCACACTTAAAAAGGTTCTTGTCGGAAATAGAAAAGTATTATCATAGACAAGACATTGACATAAACATGAGTTTTCTAGTCTTGAATTTAGAGATAAATATATCACAGTACTCTGAAATTTGTCTCATACTAGGAGAAACAAATCCTTGGAGTCCCATTGTAGCAAAAAGAGCTATATATGTTTGATTATTATTTTTCCACAATATAAACAATAAAAATTGATACGTAATCACTTGAAATAAAGTAACGAAGAATCAACCAGCTTATGAATAGAGATGTACTTTATGGTGCTTTGTGTAAAAATGTTTTAGAATTTACTTTGAGAGAATGTATGGTTTCATTATAAACAAGTTAAAAGTGTGGAACTCTTGTCAACCATATTCTCATCTTTATGTAATTAAAACATGAGACTCATCAAATAATAGATTACATTATTCCCAAAGGAACTGTAAATAAAGAATGTTCCAGATTTCTCTCATACTGTCTATAAAGAAGATATATATGTGTGTAGAAAACTTTCTAACATTTTTTCAATATTTCTTGAAGTTTACATTCAAATGTAAACTTATTCATATAAAACGTTACATTGAATATAAATTATGTACGCATGCATGCACGAAGTATTTGTATTATAACTTAATTAATGGCCTGCTTCAATTGAATCTAGCAGATTTTATTTGAAACTCAAAGTATAAGCGTGATGAAATTATAAGCATTCATAGTCATAGCTCGCTGTTTAAGAAATCTCATTATTTTGTGGAACTTTAACTTAAAGCAAAGTTCTTCGTGCAAAGCAAATTATGACATATCAAATATGTGAAAAAAAACGATCATGTTTTCTTTTTAAAAAAATATTCGAAAAAGCTAATTTCTATTTGTTAGTTCTAAGTGTCATCAAAATATATGAAATTGTAAAATCTGTGACGTAATTCTTTATTTACGTTTAATTAAAAGTTCTATTGAATCTTCTTGTCTGTATTTTCCAAAGAAGAAAAAAGCAAGAGATATCACGTCTGTAATTTTCAGTTCTTTATAAGATAGAAATCACTAGAGAATAACTTCGACACATTGGAATAATAAAAAGAAAATATGTTGGACAATTTTTTTTTCCTAATTGAATACCTGTCGAAATGTATCTTGATGTTCACTTTCACTACGTGTATGATAATACTGACTAACATAAGACCAATATTCATCACGTTTTCTTGTTAATGTATCTTCTCGTCGTTCAACTTTTGATGGTAAATAACCCTGAAATAAGCATTTAATTAAAAAAAAAGACCAATAATGAAATCAATTATACACAAAGTAATTTCCATGCTTGTGCTCGATATTGTTTTGGAATACCATTCCAACTTGCTTTACGAAGTTCATCTAAATAAAAAGAATATTTTATCAAAAGAAGAATTATTTTTTATGTTAAGAATTAATTTATACTGAGATCAA